CCCCCCCCCCCCCTAAACAACAACAAGAGAAGCCACCTTCACAGCTTTCTCTATTTCTACACAGTACTGTAATACCCATCCCTTGTAGAGCAAAACAAGGCCACCAAAGATATTCACACAAACCTAGATCTATCAAATAAAAACTCTTGCCGTTTTGAGTGGATACACTTCTGTAGTCCAAGGGGAAAAAACCAAAACCAAAAACACATGATTATACATCTATTAGATTTTGGCAACTTGGAAACACTGAAACACATGTGTCACTTTCCCCGTAAAACTACGACAGCTACAGAGTTGAAAGTTGGCAAGTACCTGCAAAAATACGCCCCATGACGGAGCCCCATTTTTTCTTTCTTTCTTGAATTTAGAAAACTATATTTGACAAAACGTTCCCGTCTTTCTTTGGCCTTTGTGATCATTCCACTGAGAAACCAAACAAATCTGTGCAGCTGTCCTTTACAGCACAAGTGCCGGAAATGATATTTCCCGAGGCACATTTTGGTTTGAGAGTATAGATCTAGACCTAATTTTTTTGCATCCCTCAAAGATTTATTGCTTCATTCCAGCAGAGTGTAAATTATAGTAGGCCAATGACTTTGAGTTGATGTTAATGCACCGATCATTCCTTCCATCGAAAGAGGGTCCAGCTAGTTAAATAGATATATTTAAAACACAAAAATAACAAACCAATACAAACAAGCCACTCACAAATCTGCTGGTGATGACAACATCAAAGGGAAACAACTATCTACAAAGTACGTGATGGTGGTGAAGACGGAGTGATGGTTCTTCCTTTGGGACAAAAAAGAAGGCTGTTGTTTGTCCCGCGCACGCCCGCCTATCAGTACACTGATTATTGTTCGGCACACGTTATGTCAAAGTCACAAGACTAACTAAGAGTAAGAATAGATCAGACCTACCTTACGGGAGTCTCCTTTGACGAAACTTCAGAAATTCTGTTTACCATAGTCTTCAGTAGCTTCGCTTACTTAACTCATTCTTTAGTGAAGTGAAAACGTTTCCGATACCTAGAGACGGTCTGGATCTCAATGTTTCATCATCCATATCTTCACGAGTCTCAATCTCTTTGTACAACTTTCCCAAACACGCTGATGAAAGTAATCGGAGAACGACCTTGACTTTGAAAGTACGTGCCCCGAACAATTCAGTGTTAGGCGGGCGTACGTGTGCCCAACAACTTTCAAAAAAGAAACGAAAGAAAGAGCGGATGAGTTGACGAAGTGAGTGACTGTACCTTCCTCCTAGTGCGGTATCTCCTTTCCACATCCGAAGACTAAAAGAGAATAGTGGACAGGCTTAGGGATATATGTGTCACACACATACACACACACACACATCCGAGGACTAAGAGAGAATAGTGGACAGGCTTAGAGATATATTATGTTCGTTCTCTCTCTCTCTCTCTCCCTCTCTCACACACACAGACACACACACACACACACATCCGAGGACTAAGAGAGAATAGCGGACAACCTTAGAGATATATTATGTTCTCTCTCTCTCTCTCTCTCACACACACACACACACACACACACACGAAGACTAAGAGAAAATAGTGGACAACTTTAGA